TATTTTGATATACAATAGATTTATATAGAACCATTTATTTTCACAAAAACGTCACTGTCCACGAACTTTTTGGACAACCCCCTTACATGTATATATATCATTTTTAATCAATATACGATAAGGAAAAAAAATATATTATGAAAATGAAAATGTGCTTTAGTCGAACAGTTTAAAAAGGGTGTCATTTTTGCAAGGATTATCGAAACCTTCCTTTTTATAAAACAAAATCATAGTCATACTTATGGCTGCATGATTACTGTAATTTAAAAGTGATTTGAACATAATTTATCGTGTTTATTGACAAATCAAAATGATTAGACTCGGGTTCTATAACTTATCTAGGCAGTCTCCTTAATTTGAATACTTTGATTAAACAAGGATATGTATTCTGAAATTTGTTTTCACCTGTAAACCTTTACTCAGTTTAATTTGTCTATATTTGATTTTTTTATTGAAATATCACTTAAAATTTTCCAAGTCTTTTTCATTTTCCAGTTCTTTGGAGGAGAAAAAATTCTAAGAAGTATCCACTTTTCTAAACTTGTGTCATGATATTAAGTCTCTTCCAAAGAAAATAAATAGTTTGTATAATCTGTTTTTATTTGTATTTTCTGACAAGGTCATTATTTCGACCATAGAATTTACGAAATGTTGATTTAAACAAGACTGTTGATATCCTTGTTTCGTTAATATTTTGCCCAAAGCTTGTCATGTTTTCAAAATTGTTGATACGAAATTGCAAATTTAAGCAAGATCTTGTGCTATTTTGAACAAATAGCAAGCAGCTGCATATGAAGTCGCTGGGAATGGATTTTCAGTTATTGTGGAAAATGGTTGTATTGCAAGTTGACAAGCTTTATTTTTTATGTTAGAGACTTTTGTAAAATTTTGTGATTTCAAATTTGAAATTCAGTGAGTCTAGGGTTTTTAAGTAAATGTACATATCTATGTACATCTGATTCACACCACTTCAATAATGCGACTATGACATCTTGAAATCAAAGGTAAGGGTCTTTTGGAAGAAGACCTTAGGGACAGATGATACAAACAATTTTATTGTTTGGAGGAGACTAAGTATCATGTCACAAGTTAATAAAAGTGGATACTTCTTAGAATTTTTTCTCCTAAGAACTGGGAAATGAAATAGACTTAAAAAATATTACGAATTTTTCAGTAAAAAACAAAAATATTGACAAATTTCACTCAGAAAAGATTTACAGGTGAAAACAAATTACAGAATATGTAAGCTTTGTGCTAAAAATGTAATATAAACATAAGAACAAGAGGTCCATGGGCCACATCGCTCACCTGAGAAGCTTTGACCATTCCGTTCTTTACTAGATTCCCCCCTTGTTATACATAATTGTGACCCCACCCTGCCCCACTGATCATAATTTAGACAACTTGAAATCTACATTACCCCAGGATGCTTCCACATATGTTTCAGCTTTTCTGCCCCAGTGGTTCTTGAAAAGAAGATTTTCAAAGATTTCTCCTATACATTACTATGTAAAACTTTGATTACCAATTGTGGCCCTGCCTTTTCCCCGGGAATTTGAATAGTTTAGAATCTCCACATAAGTTTCAGCTTCTCTGGCCCAGTGGTTCTTGAGAAAAAGATTTTCAAATATTTTTCCTATATATTTCTATGTAAAATTTTGATTCCCATTGTGGCCCCGCTCTTACCCCGGGGGTCATGATTTTTACAATCTAGAATCTACACTTCTCCAGGATGCTTCCACATAAGTTTCAATTTTTCTGGCCCAGTGGTTCTTGAGAAGAAGATTTTCAAATATGTTTCCTATATATTTCTATGTAAAACTTTCCAATTGTTGCCCCGCCCTTCCTCGGGGGATCATGATTTTTACAATTTAGGATCTACACTGCCAAAGAATCTTCCACAAAAGTTTCAGCTTTTCTGGCCCATTGTTCTTGACAAGAGGATTTTCAAAGATTTTTATAATACATTTCTATGTGAAAAATTGATTCCCCATTGTGGCACCGCCCTTCCCCCGTGGGTCATAATTTGAAAAATTTAGAATCTACACTACCCCAGGATGCTTCCACATAAGTTTCAGCTTTTCTGGCCCACTGGTTCTTGAGAAGAAGATTTTCAAATATTTTTCCTATATATTTCTATGTAAAACTTTGATTCCCCATTGTGCCCCCCCCCTTCCCCCGGGGGTCATGATATGAACAATTTAGAATCTACACTACCCCAGGATGCTTCCACATAAGTTTCAGTTTCTCTGACCCACTGGTTCTTGAGGAGAAGATTTTCAAATATTTTTCCTATATATTTCTATGTAAAACTTTGATTCCCCAATGTGGCCCTGTCCTTCCCCGGGTGAATTTAATCAGGAAAAGCAAAATGGTATAAATCACCCTATTTCATATGGGATGATTTTTACCATTTTGCTTTTCCTCATAAAATTCAGTATGAGTGTGAGTGTTTTAACCATTTTTATAATTTTATTAAAATATTACTGATATTTTCCAAGTCTATTTCATTTTCCAATTTTTAGGAGAAAAAAAATCTAAGATTTAGGGCAAAATAAAATTATAGTTTGTTTGGAATTGCCTCCCGCCTCACTTGTGACCAAAAGTAGAAGATTTTTTTTTATATCATTTTTTTTCCCCATTATTCATATATCACATGCAAAAGATAAAATAAAAGATTTTTGTTGAACATCTGTCCTAAAATGTATTTACTTTTTACTAAGATTTTTATCAAAAATTTTAAATTTATCCTCAATTTAAAAAAAAAAATAATTTCCCTTCCTCCCTCCTGTGTCTGAAACCCTTCAGGCGGCAATTCTAAACAAACAATTTTTTAAGGATGGCCTTATCCACTTTTCTAAACTTGTGACTTGACATTAAGTCTCCTCAAAAGATAAAATAAAAGATAACATCTGTCCTAAAAGCACTGCTCAATGGACCTGAGTGCTGCGTAAAGGTCTAATTTGTAGACTTTCACAAGTGTACTTTAATATCTGTATGAGTGAAAAAAATTACACAGGACTAAATTTCAATGTAAAAATTTTTTGTGGCCGAAATCTACCCCTAGAGTCAAGATTTGAACAAATTTCAATCTAGGGATTCTTTCACCCCTTGAAAGAGGGCGTGCCCCTTCATTTGAACAGACTTGCTAGTAATTAAATTCCCTTCACCGAACGACTTGGCAATTTTGGTTGAAATTCTTGAGAAGAAGTCGAAAATGCAAAAACTTTACAGAAAGACAGACAGACTTACAGAAGGATACCGGACACAATGTGATCAGAAAACTTGAGTCTTTGGCTAAGATGAGCTAAAAACTAAAATAAAAATTGGTGCTATATTTTATAAATGTTCTTCTCTAGAATCACTAAGCCAAAAAAATTGAAACTGAAATGAGATATTCTTAACATAGTGTTAATTTAAGTTTGTTCAAATGATGACCGCTTAGGTAAGTGCCTGGCCACCAAGGATTATCAAAGGTTACAAAGGAATAGGGTAAAGACTTCAGATAATCTTCTACCATTGAACAACTGCAAAACTATGATTAATCATATTGATACTGAAGCATATTCATGATGTTTATATTCAAAGTTGTTCAAATGATGACCCCAGGAATGGGGTGGGATCACAATTGGGGATCAAAGTTTTATAGAGAATATCTTGGAATGAATCTTTAAGAAAATTATTTTCAAGAACAGCAAAGTAATGACTAGTCATATGGATATGGAAGCATTCTCATTTTGTGTTAATGTATATTCAAGTTTGTTTAAACCATGACTCCTGGGGGTAGGATGGGACTGTAATGCAGGGTCAATGTTTTCCTTAGGTATATAGGGAAAACAATCTTCTAAAATTAATCCTTTTCTTAAGAACAACAAAGCCATGTTATTGTGCTCAACCCCTAGGGGAAAGGTAGGCCAAAATTGGGGTCAATTTTTACATAAAGAATATAAACGAAAAAAATGAAAATAAAACTTGAAAACTGGTTTTAGCCATATTGAAATGAAAGTATCCTTAGGTAATGTAGATTGAAGTGCTCCATATAATAACTCTGGTGTTAGGATATAGGGCCACAATTAGTGATCAAAGTTTTGCAGGGAATATATAGAAAAAATATCTATAAATAAAATTCTACTTCTCAAAAACAGCAATACCATGTTGAATCATATTGATATTGAGCCATTTGTTTGTAGTGTAGATTCAGGTTGTTCAAATGATGACCCCTTGGGGTGAAAAAAGGGGCCACAATGGGAGATCAGCTTCTAACAAATGAATTTGTAGGAAGAACTCTCACTAGTCACTGTCATTCTGCGGTTCTTCATCATCAGTTTTTTTTTATTTCAAAAAACACCTATATTTTGATCACATATCTAGCCCTAAAGGTGCTATGAAAAGTTTAATCCACCATCAACATATTGAAGCTTCAATATCATTATGATCAACATGGTTCTGTTGTCCTTTAGAAGTCTTTTTATCTGCATCCATGTATTTATTAAGTAAAATTTGCATCTGTTTTTTGTGCTGAATCTTAATCTACACAAGTGCTACAGAGAATTAATGATTTTGTAAGGCAAAAAAAATAATAGTCTTGTTTCCTGCTACCAGCCAGAAAAAATAGGGTAGGTAGGTAGGAAAATTATTTTATTTTTTAATTTTATTTTTCCAACAGTATTTTTTTTCGATATAAACTACTACAAAACCAAAAAAAACATGTCATAGCTAGGTCTATATCATCTCTAAATTGAAATTCCTTGTTTTTTATGCACAACTCAAGGGGAACTTTATGAAAGTCCATATTTTAAACATATATTTCATGTAATATAACTTGAGTATATATTTTTTTACTTTTGAAACATGAAATTACTAAAATTTTGAATTTTTTCCCCAAAAGCTAAAAAAAAATTTAGGGTCAGGTGCAAAAAAATAGGGTAGGTCGGGTAGCAGGAAACAAGACTATTTTTTATTTTGGCCTAATATACAGATCTTTCCTTTCAACTGCATTTTATTTCCACTAAACTGTGCAATAAGCATAAATTTTACACAAAACCATTGTACTTCTCTTTTATTTGTCTTACTTCAACATGAGTAATATCAAAATGTTCATTTTGTTTATATTTTGTTTTTCACTACACAATCAGTCTTCTACGAACTTTAAGAAATAGTTGTGGATCCTTTCAGTACTTTGATTATCTAGATGCCGCTGAATGTCCTGAGGTTTCAGAGGAGGGACTTCCCGGGATATTTCTTTCCTCCGTGTCCTCCCCCTCATCACGTGACCCTTTATAAGATTCCCCCTCTACAGGTCTAGAGTAATGTCCCCCTGACCTGACATCCTCATCACTCCCACTCGCCAATGGCGACTGTTCCCGTAGCAACTGAGCAAACTTCTCATGTGGAGGACTTTCGGGAGATTTCCCCTGCTCAGAAAATTCCTGTCGAAATAAGTTTGCAAGATGGCGGGGTGGGGAGTTACTTCCCTTGGCAGACAGAGAATTATCACAGTTATTTCCCCTTTCACTTACGTCACCAGAGTTTGTGAAGATTTGTGGATGTCCACTATTGGTGCCGTCACCCCCGTGGTACCTCTGTAGAATCTCTCTGATCTGGACGGAGGAACGGTCAACATTGTCCATACACATTCTAAGTTTGTCCTTGTGGTGAGAGGTCATAAGGTCATAGGACAGTTCTCGGACCGTCTTACACAACTGGATAGAGGCAGACACAATACTCATACAGGCAGCTGTCAAAAATAAAGGTATATCTAGTTATTATCACAATACACTGTATATCTGCAGTTATAACACTACATTAATAAGCCCACAGGCCGCTGTCAAAAATACTAGAGATGTGTGTAAAACACTTAATATGTCCCCCCCCCCCCCAAATTGGAATTTTTCCAAGTCCAAAAGGGCATAACTCTGTCAAAAATGGTGCGATCGTACCCAAAACAGAGCTTAACCAAGATATTTATCTGACAAATCTGTATGCCAAATTTCATTTCAGTATATGCAATTTACCTCGATCTGCAAAGAAAATGAGAGAAAACTGCAAATAGTTAGAATTTTTTCTATGTCAAAGATAACTCTTTCGAAAATAGTGCAATCATACCCAAAACAGAACTTGATCTAGATATTCATATGATAAATCTGTATGCTTAATTTCATTTCAGTATGTGCAAAAGTTACAAAGAAAATGAAAGGAAACGTACTGCAAATAAATGGAATTTTTCTAAGTCTAAGGGGCATAACTCTGTAAAAACATGTTGCGATTGTACCCAAAACAAAACTTTACCTAGATATTCAAGTGATATATCTGTATACCAAATTTCATTTCAGTATGTGCAACGGTTGTGAAGAAAATGAACAGAAACTGCAAATAATTCGAATTTTTCTAAGTCCAAGGGGCATAACTCTGTAGAAATTGTTGAGATCATATCCAAAACAAAACTTGTCCTGACCTAGATATTCATGTGATATACCTTTATACCCAATTTCATTTCAGTATGAGCAACAGTTGCGAAGAAAATGAACAGAAACTAAGTGGACCGACAGACAGCAGGAAATCAATATGCCCTCCCTTCTTCAAAGGGGGAATAATAAAAAGTATATCTATTTATAACATATAAGGTGTACGTTTAACATAATATGTTCTCATAAAGGCAGATGTCATAAAATAAAGGTACACCCAATTATTACTTCTACAGGCAGCTGTCAAATATAAATTCTTACTTGTACATTAATTACCAGTTAAATGATCACTAGTTTTTTAGGTATCCATATCAATTTTATATAAAGTACTATTATACTGTTTCAAAGCATGTATAAAAGAAGAAAAGTATTAAATACAAAAAAGAATTTCGATGAAAAATATTACATAACCCATTAACCCTTAAATATTGCATTGAGATCAATGGAAAAAAGTACATTTTTGAAAATAGAAAAAAAAAATTCAGAATATTAACATGATTAATATAATATGATATATTTTATTTATAACATAATGATATCAACATTAAATAAAGCAATGAAAAAGTCATTTAATCAAATTTGATGGGTAAGAGAATGCAGTATACATGTATGTATTTAGCTATTATATCTAACTCCTTAAGGACGTACAATACACATTACAAAGCCCTCAAGTGAGAGTGCTAGAGTTAAGGGGGTCTCTATAGGTCTGTAAGTGTTATATCACCCAACTTTACAATGGGTGTGGTTCAAAATCTACACGATCCTGTGAAGCGCTGATGATGGGTGTGGTTCAAAACCTACAAGATCTGGTAAAGTGCTGATAATGGGTGGAGCCATTCCAATGCATAAAAATTTCCTTGGTGAATTCGAAACAGGAGGATTTTAAAATTGTAATATATTTTCGAGAACTTACATTTCATTAGGAACATAAAGATAGATTTTAAATAAAATCAGTATTATCATTGTAGATCTAAAAAAAAAAAAGCATTATTCAACCATTAAATTTAATAATTATCAAATTGTTACAGTAATGTTTATATATATATTCCCTCAATATCTTTATCAAACGAGTCAAGTACCATTTCCACTATTGTTCTCAAAATCTTGTATTAATATACATTCAGACCGAATCTCATGTTTATACACACAAAGGTCTATACATGAAGCTGACATTTAACATACTGGCAAGAGGTTTATTAAAGCATTTCATTGAGCAATACATCAGGAAAATATATGTACATATTAATTTTACTTTAAAAAATTATAAACTTGAAGCTGACATTTAACATACTGGCAAGAGGTTTATTAAAGCATTTCATTGAGCAATACATCAGAAAAATATATGTACATATTAATTTTACTTTAAAAAATTATAAACTTTTTTTATGAATCTATTAATTTGAAGAGGATTTTATTAAAACATAAAATTGAGCATGTCAACATGTACATCAGAAAAAAAATACACATATTAATTTTAATAAAAATGTTATATTTTTTAATGGAACTGTTAATTTTAGCGGTTGTTATAGAGGACCCTGCAAAAACATTTTTTTTTAATTTCAAGTCAATCTAAATGTACCTGTAGATTTATGTACAGGTGAATTTGGACCACACCCTTGATCATCTCCAGCTGACATGAATTTAATTAATGGCCCTCCATTCTTTGGAAAACTTTGTGACATTATTTCTAACTCCTATTTCATTTCAAATTGACTTTCAAATTTTATGATGATAAATTGGGGAGGGGTAAATTTTTATGGAGCATTCACAGGACAGGTGTTGTTCATTCTAGGTCAATTCTATCTAATTGGGACAGGGTTGTCCCTAAAGGAGGGGCTGCCGATAGAAATGGGATCCCCAGCTATCCCCCTCACCCCCCCCCCCACCAGTTAAGGAGGAAATCCTAAGACCCCCTTCTATTGTTTTAATGTCCCCTGCTATTTTAATTCTTAGGGATACAATACTGGATTATAACCCTTAAGTGATAATCCTCTGTTACCACCCCACCCCCTCTGAGTTTTTCTAAGAGAAGAAAAACAGAAAGACATAGCAAGAAAGAGAAATGATTCCACGTAGATCTACAATAAAATAAAATACGCCAACATGTTTATAATGAATTGATGCTGAAATCGAAAGGGTTTTCATTCCTTTTGGGTTTTAGGAGGAATGCCACACCAACTTTTTATTTTATAAATAAATGAGTCAACCTTTTCAAACAATGGTTTCTGCATTGAAAGTCCGACTTTAGTTCTTTATCATTCATTAAATGTAACACATTTCATTGAATGAAAATCATTTTGCCGTAAGCATAATTTATTATAAAATGGATCACACTGACCCTGTTTAGAGTATCAAGTTCATAACAATGCACTCTGTACCAAATCACAAGCCTTTTGCTTGCTTATGCAGCTACACTCAGACGTAGATGTACTAAACTACTATGTATTGAAGTTGTATACTAAGTTCTTCTGTACACTGTACACCAAGAATGAACTTCTGTCTATCTTTGGCTTTATTGCTACAATAATTTGCTTAAGTTATGTTCCTGAATGTTAAATATTGCATTGAAGTCACTGGAAAAGAAGTAAATTTTTGAAAATAAAAACTAAATTTTAAGAATATTATTTTATACAATATATTTTAAACATAATGATATCAACATTAAATAAAGCAATGAAAAGTTGACTTAGTCATTTAATGAAATTTGATGAGCAAGAGAATGAAGTACACGTTTTATATCCAAACTTTAAGGAAGTACACATATACAAAGTCCTTAAGGACAGATGATACAAACAAAAAATGGATGCCTGGATTGATACATATTTTTTGGCCCAATTTCATTGCAAATGATGCAAATATTAAATTTCTAGAATATAAAGAAATTGTAAACCTTCTGTGATGTTCAAAAGTCTGCCCGTCTGAAACCATCCGTATGCATCTATCCAAATATTTTTCACTTTGAATTCCATTTTTGTCCAAATTTGAATAAAAAGTTAAAAACTACGCGGTTAAAAGTTATTCATTTTATTCGTTTAAGCATGACCCAAGTCGTTATTTTCAAATTCTTTGACAAAAGTTTGATTGTATTATCTGTCCTTAAGTGACAGTGCTACAGTTAAAGAGGTCTTTATAGGTCTGTATGTGGTACGTCCCCCTATATAACAATGGGTATGGTCCAAAATCTACAAGATCTTATAAGTGCTGATAATGGGTGGAGCCAATTTTTTGTCAAATTCAAACAAAGAAAACAATAATCAGCTCCCTCTTTAACAATACATTGACATGATAATAGGCCCTTCAGCACCACTCGGGATTCTATATCATTTAACATGTTGAAATACAGTCACACATAATTTTACATCTTATATATATGGTCAATCAAATAAAATATGTATATATAAATGTTCATATATAACTATGCAAAGATCATTATATTATTATTTAAATCTGTATTGAGGAAAACAAGAAACAGTTAAACGAAGTCAGTAAGCATATCTAATGTTAAATTTCTGTAAATGTTACTCTTATCATTTCTTTAGAGTCGAAAGATTGATTTCATTCCTTTCTTGAATTCATTCAAGAATATTGAAGTAGTAATATTATTTTTTCATACTTGATGCTGTTTCTTGTTTTCCATATTGACCACTTGTATATATAAATCTAGGTGTTTATACAAATTTGAAAATTTTTGGGTTCTTCAACGAATCCCAATAAAACAATACATACATCAACTTTGATTGGACTCACTACAGAATTTTTTTACATTATATTTTGTACCACTTCCAAAAGTGGTTTGACTTTCATAAAATAGATGTTTCTGACTCTCTATTTTTTATTTACAGAAAAAACATTTACCATTCGATAAACCCATTTTGCTTAATTTTTCTTCAGTGTATAAGATGCTATGCAGGCATTTCCGTTGAAATTCTTGAATCTTTTGTTTTAACCAAACTTCATAAATTGAGCCCCAAGTTCTTTTCCATGTAATTTCATTTTGCATCAATTTCTCCCATTTTCCTTGAGATTTTGGAGTGATATTTTGGTTCAAGGGTGTACAACACACCTACCCCAAAAAATTCCTGTCGTTTAATTTTCGCAATTTTTGTATATTTAGTACATGACTATATCTACTGTGTGTATGCACATTTTGGACAAAATCGTTCGAGTGGTTTTGGGGCAGGAAATTCCAAAAGTTACCCCCCTTTAGTTGTTTACAAGGAGAGAAAATTTTCAATCAATGAACTAATTAAACCTTGATTTTCAAAAAAGCTAGGTTAACTTTAACTGTCAAATTTCATTGACTTATTC